CTTCTTTTCGCCTTGACGCGGGAAGGATACGGCTACACATAGGCAATTAACAACTGCACTCTACTACTCGTAATTCCTACAACCCGGCAATGAAACCAGTGGTGGGAAGTAAGAGTCTTAAAGAAAGATTTAAAAATTGTGCTTGGCTTTAATTCAGGAATGGAGATAAACTTGTAAACTGTCTATAAAGAACTTTTTTCGATGTTACCAATTGTCATGCTTATCCAATTGTCGTTGGATAAGCCATTTGACTGGATGACTCTCATTGTGGCGTAGTGTCAATAGTAATAAGTAGCCGCACCGGTAGACATCGGGTAAAAATTGCGTCAAGAGCAGAATTCTGTTGTATCACTCTCTCATTCTCTAATCTCGACAACACAAAAAGCAGCTCAGAAGCGCATTCGCTGCAAGACCACTTGGAGGCAACAGCTGATAAACCGCTCAGGAACGGTTTAATGCAAGCGCTTCAACAGCGGTGATGAAGGCCTAAAGACAACCGCTTGGAAACAGTTTGATAAACAGTCTAAGGCAACCGCTTGAAGACATCTCAAGCGGGCTTTTGAATACAACCGCTATAACACCTCTGGTGAATGCTCGACGTTAGTTGCCATAAAACCGCTCATAATGGCATGGAAACAGTCTCTACAATGAATATGGAACGTTTTTGGAAGAGAACGTGGATATCGAGGAAAACCATCTGTTCCTCATTATAAACAGCAAATCTAAAACAAACAAAAAAAAGTGAAAAATGAATTTCCCATCTTCAATTTCCCTTTGTCATTTTTCCATTCCCCATTCTCCAGCGCGTGTTACATCTGAACTTTATCATCATAAAGGATAAGCCAACAAAGATTTTTTTTAGTCTATAACTACCCGAGTTTTATCTAGGTTTTGAAATGAAGCTCAGCAAACAAAACTATATCTTTTTGACCACATAGTCAGTCCGCGATGGACTATCAAGACTATCTACGCAGACCGATTGTATGATATGAGTTTGTCTCAAGACAAGTAAAAAAAACTGGAACATCTCCTATGAGAGAAAAGTCAAACTACATAATAATTTACTACGTTACCGTTACAACCAATATTTCTTGGGAGACACTTCAAATCGATGAACCAGAACTAAGCTATATTCAATTGAGCTGTATTGTTGTAAAGCCCTTGATTTTAAAAGAAACGACCATTAAGCAATACTACACACCAAAATGTCTAATAAGTTGTTCATTATCTAACTGCTTTTTTTTTTGCTGAGTTTCTCTGCTAATTTTTTATAAGGCGGGAAAAGCAAAGCGGAAAGAGAAGCGTAGCGCGTGCCGCTGTCCGGTTAAACAGGTTTATTTACCGTACAAAATAACCAACTGTACAATATCGTAGGATATTTGTGATTCACTTGTGTTCCATTCGCGCCTTTTTTTGTACTCTACTTCGTGCAGTTGGATATAATTTTGAAATAAAGGGTTGTGTTCTACAGCTTAAAATGTTTGAATGAAGGACAACTCGGAGGTTAAAGTGTATATGACACGAAGATTTTTTCCCTGGATTTTGGCAGTTCAATATGTATGATAAGCTGTGAGACAATTACAAAATGATAATTTTTTTTCTCTGACCGCTTTTCTTCATGCAAAACTTGCTCGATTTCTAAATAAAACTCTCAGGAGACTAGGGACGAGAAACAAGGTTATGACGTCACGTTGTTTGATCGCTTAATCAGTGAACGAAGTAATTTACGACGAAACCACGCGTACTTGTCAAATCCGTCGCTTTCCGCTATGTCTGTTTCCACGACATCCAGTGATTCCGAGGTCAGTAATGAATCGTGTGACTCCTCTAGGAGTCTCGATTGGGCGCAGAGTGACAGTTCTAATAGCGAAAGCAGTTATCGATGGTGTTGTCATCCCATATGAAGATGAGCCGCTTGCGGATTTTGGCGAAGAAGTAAGCCCGAACGCAAATGAAGAAGAATCAGATATTGATGGACTTACCCCGTCGACTTAGGAGTCTAGATTTGAAGGAAATGTGAGTGTGGATTCATGGTAAGTTGAAAGATTTACCGTGATTCCTTTTGAACATAAGCAGGACTGATATGCGCTCCTGCGTTGCTACGTTTGTCCGATAATTTGTCATTTACCTCTTCCAGGTGTGAATGCGAGCAGTGTGATACTGAAATGTTAGTCGGTGCCCTCGAGTTTCGATGTTGCAGAGAAGTCACTAATTCATTCGCGAAATTGATATTTGATGGTTCGATCGAACGAATCAATTGCATCACCAAACATGAAGACTTTAACGCCATTACAAACCGCGCCGTTCTTCTGCAAGTCGCTCCTCTCCTTAGACGCCAAGATAGAGGAACCTATCGTCGCCGCAGTGGAGGGTTAGAAAACAAGTAAGGTTTTTTCCTTTTAAATCGGTAGTTCTATGTCATTCTTGTTTTAATGGCTTGACCTAATAATTGGGATACTTGTGGTTTTATATTAATTTTTGAATTCTCCAGTCATAAGAAACGAGTCTCCTGTCATTCAGTTAGGAGTGAAGGTCCAGTAATTACTTGAAGTGTAGATGTCTTCATTTCTCACTTTTATGTTTACATATAGGTTCATCAGAGCCGCTTCATATAGCTGGACAACAAGGTGGCTTTGTGGGTCAGAGGCGGATCCAGGGGAGGGGTTGAGGGGGTTGCAACCCCCCTTTGAGAAGCATTTGTCTCTTGATATTTGTTTTATTCTTCTTAAATTAATTATATATAAAATCTTCTTACAAAGTTTTTCTACTTCTACCATTCGACTGCTTGTCAAGTTATAAAAGGTAATGTACATTTTGCGAAACGTGTATGCGTCAAAAATTAAGGAAAGGCTTACAGCAGAGCTAAGGACTAAGGACCTTCCTTTCACGATCATAGCTGACAAGAGCACTGATCCACACTCAAACCAGGAGATCTTATCTTTATGCTTGAGGTTTGTGGACCAGTCTTCGCCAAACGATCCTCATATCAAAGAATGCCTGATTAATTTCATTCATTTGGAACGAAATGCCACCATGATTTCAAGAAAGATTTTGGAATCTCTCTCTGATCCATCTATTTCTTTGGATCCCAGCAACATCCGTGGTCAGGCATATGATGGAGCTTCCGTTATGCGAAGTGGAAAGGAAGGAGTGCAGGCCAAGATAAAAGAGATCAATCCGTTAGCTCTTTTCACACATTGCTATGCTCACTGCCTGAACCTCTCCATCGCAATATCATGCAAACTGTCGGAAGTGCGAAATTTGATAGGTCAGATTAACGAGGCATATCTATTTTTAAATAACAGCCCAAGCGACAACAGCTGTTTGCGTTGACTCGGAAAGAATACCTGCCTGAGAATTCTTACAGCAAGCTTCCAGGTCTATGGAAGACACGCTGGGTGGAGACACACGAGCCTAGATTTTTTCCAGGAAATGTACGAGCTCCTAGTCACCTTTCTAGATGCTTTTATTTCCCCGTACGAGTACCCAAACTTGAAATCGTCTACTTGAAGCTGGAATTGGGACAAAGATACTATCACAAAAGCCCAGGGACTGAAAGCCTCTTTGTTGTCATTCCAGACCGTAGTGGTTTTTATTGCAACCAGGAATACTCTTGATGAAGTCAAAACTCTTGCATCAAAGCTGCAGAAACGGGATCAAGATATTTTTGAAGCTTACATGATGGCTGACGAAGTAATTGGAAACATCAAGTCCGTTAGAAAAAACATTGACAGCGACTTTCAAGTTTGGTACAAACAAATATTAGACCTTGCTGAAAAATTGGGAATTGTTGAAGCTATATTCCCAGGAAGACACGCAAACAGAGGAATCGCCCAAACATTCCCAGCTGTAGTCCAATTTATCATTACAAAAAATCTGTGGCCATTCCCCTTCTTGATTCTCCGATTATTCAAATGCAAGACCGATTTTCTGACGAAGATCGCCACGCCCGTCACTTGCTTTATCTAGTACCCTCTACCATAGTTAATAACACCCTGGAGCTATCTGAAGCAACAGAAGGCATGTTGTTCTGGGACAATGGCCTTCCATTTCCCAAATCCCTTTGGAATGAGCTGCGAAGATGGCAAATTATGTGGCAGTCAGCAGAGAAGGAACTTCCAAGCAATCTTCTACTCGCACTTGGCGCGTGTGACGAGGATGCTTTTCCAAACATCCATCGTCTTCTTCTCATTGCACGTACCCTACCAATCAGTATTGCGGAAGCCGAGTGGTCCTTTCGCTCATGAAATGGATCAAGACGAGCACCAGATCAATGATATGTGAAGAGCGCTTTTCAGATCTCGCCATTATTGCTGTGCATTACCCTGAGAGATTCGAGGTAGACAAGATATGCGAGGCCTTTATAAAAGCTCATCCTAGGAGTCTCTTTAAGGCTACGTTCTTTGATTAACCAGGTATTTAGAGAAACGACAAATAACTATTTTTGATACTGCTGTCCCTTTCAATCATGCACTTTCATTTTTGGGTTTATTGTTGAGAAATAAGATAAACTCCAGATTTTATATCATACCTACACAACGCTTTTCAGGAATTCTGTAAATGGCGTTTTAGATGGAAAAATCGGAATTTTTTTTTGCGTGGGGGGGGGGGGGGGGGGAGGGAAGGAGCATAGCTCTGGACCCCTTGCGCCAGAGGCACGGGGCCGTCACTCGAGTTCCACATCATTGGCGTTAAAGGTTACTAGAATAGTGTACAACTCCCCCTTTGAGAAAATCTTGGAACCGCCCCTGTGGGTACATAGGCTGGGAAAAGAGACGACCTCTCCCAGCTTGTGTTTATCACAGTATAAGGAAAAAATACAACACACGACAACATAGGGGATATGCTAATGTCCAGGATGGAGAGGTGCATTGAACTCTTGTAAATGTACCTCATTGGTCCATGAAAAAAAATGCTCCCGGTTTAGTTTCATTTGCATGGGCCATGTCATTTTGTATATACTTCAAAAAATAGTAATAAAGACCATGAGAAAGCAGACATGGATAACAAACTGTGAGTCACTTTATTTGCCACTTTTCTTCTTGTGACAATGAGATGGCCTCTTGCTTTTGCGGGTGCGTCTAGAAGTGGATTGACTACTGCTTGGTTGACTGTTGCCATCAGCTTGTTGTGAAGTTTGTTCTGATTCTATAGGATAACAATGGTGATATAGTATGTCAGTGCATCGTTACAGTGTAGGTGTGTTACTTTGTATGCCCAATGACAAATGGTGTTTAATCCAGACTGAATACAAATGTGCTTCATTCTCACTTGTCTTGAGTTGGGAATAAAAAATTCACATTTGACAACAAAGCCCATCTAAGGCATTCCCAACTTTGAGTAGAGAGTTGCATATCCACAGGTGGATAAATAAGCAGCCCCCCACAGACAGGTGGCAAAAATGAAATAATTCACACTTACTAACACTTCATTGGAATATTATATTCATTTCATGTTAAATTTGGATAATTGAAATAAATGGATTGATAAAGCTATTAACTAACCAGGTGGAAATAATGCTGTTTTCTTCATTGCCTTTTTTGCGTTATATGCCTTTATAGCTTCCTCCTTGCTCAATCTTTTTGAAAACTGCCGATTGAGGGGCTCAGGTGTTCTTGATGCATACTTCTTAATTATTTCCTCCCTCTTTTCTTTTGGAAAATTGAAGAGTAGTTTCTTCAAACCATCAACATAACCTGAAAACAACAACAACAAAAAAAATATATATATATTATAATATACAAAAAGGTATGTAAACAGTTCAGGTTCAGGGTATTTCTAAACAAGAAATAATACTCTTTTGAAGGGTATCAGGGTTTTACCAGAGAATATGACAAGTAAAGCAAAGTATTAAAACATCAGTCATGTTGTTTTCTTATAAATAAGAGTTAATCCACTGTAGTCATATTTATTCTTACCATAGGTAGGTGGGCATGCCACCTCTCACACAACTTCCTCTCCCATTTTAAATTTTGGGTAAGTGACCTGAACAAACTCTTTTCCATCAAATGCCCTTTATGTATAGGTTCATAAAAAAAAATGACTGGAAATCATTTAGAGGAAAGAAACACCAAAACATAGATATGCTATTCTGATTAAGTAAGAGACATGAACATAAAATTAGTACAAGTGACTCCCTTTGAAATAAATGGGGTAATTTTCTAAGGAAACTGGTGCTGTATCAGCAGAGAAGTGTAACAAAATAATTTGGTTTTATCAACTGAGTTAATTTTTTAGATTGGTCACAGTAAAGTGGTTTTAAAGCTAAGAAAGCCTTAGAACACTTTATGGTGGCCAATCTACATCATGGACTTGGTGGATTAGAAAAATAAAAATCTGTGAAAAAAGAAAACTAATTTCTACACAATCAAAATTACCTGCTGAGAGTCCCCAGCCAAGTAAAACAAGTCATTTTAGGATGCCAATAGTTCAAGGTTGCATGGAAGCCTTTCAGGCAACTTGTCTGGGCATCTGGTGAAAGTTTCTTTATGTCATATGTCTTTTTTGCTTCCAATTCGTACTCTGTCAATACATCACGTCTCAACTATAGCCAAAATATAATAAATTCTGATCGATTACGTTTGACCTTATCGAAAGATGACTGGAAATCACTGCTTTAACCTGACGCTTCTTGCGATCCGTTAATTCTTCCGAAACTTCTGACACAGAATGCTTTGAAATCGGCTCTTTGAAAATCTACTCGGTGGCGCTGCACAAATTTCAACCATTTCTCTCTCACAGCGCGATCCACGGTAAATTGGTGCATCGAGATGCCTGGCGTGTAGTTGGTGTTCGTACAGCTTTGATTGTTGGGCGCTCCGGCGACACAATAGCGTCCACCTTCCCTCACTGGCTTCTTCTTTTCCGCTATGTCGTTAAGTGAGAGTACAACAACCTGACGTCACAGCCTCAGCTCATGTGACTTTTTGGCCACGCGGTCGAGGAGACAAATTTCAGGCCGCGTTCGCGCGAAGTTCGAACGGAAAAAAAAATGCTTAAAATCATTTTTTGTCAAATTTTAACTCTCAAACCGTTTATCGTATAAATGTAAGTACCTAAAAACAGTAAAAAAACTTTCGTGTCATATAGACTTTAACTTTCCAACCAAATTTGTACCGACGCGTTGCAATTGTCTGGTAGATGTTCTAATGGATACGTATTGAGGGTGAAACGGTTAAAAGAGATAAAAATAATAAAATGGTACTTAAAAATAGCGGAGCCGTGGGACGTCCGTTCACCACTCCATTTAAGATTAATAATAATGATAATGACAATAATAATAATGATGATGAATCCAGATGCGCAAATTCCATCACATTTTCAAATGCGCATCACAGTTTAAGAGTTAAAATATTACAATCAACTAAAGCTATGAAGAAAAGGGAATATGAATGAAAGGTTACCACAAAGACTACATTATAATTAAAAGAGAAATTTGAAGTACAGTAAATCGCTTTGATTAAAAATGCCCATTGAGCGATTTCGATTGTATTTGCACCCCCTATATCCTATATTCAGAGAAAGTGCATTCAAGAATTTGAGAAGAACAGTAAAAATTGTCCACCTATAGGCTAGCTTCAGAGTGAAAACAGGTATGAATTAAAAGAAATCTGTTTTTAGAAATTCTGAGATCATAATTAGGTAAGAGGGAGCCCAAAACTTCTTAATTTAACGAATCATAAAAGTAGTTGGAACTATTTCAAACTCCATTCTGTTTCTTATCGGTAGCCAACGTAATTAAAAAATAAGCGATGTTATGTGGCAAACTTTGTTCAATTTAAGATTATCGTTCAACATCCATGAACGGGTGTCCCTTACGCAGTGTTTGATACTTTTCATAGCAAGAAATGCGTCCATATCAAATGATCGCAACTTCCTAAATGAAACAAGGTTAACTTTGAGGGTGGTCACGCTGTTTTCAGTTTGAATGGCATTTCTCTCTCACAGCGGGTGGTCAAGCTGTTTTCAGTTTGAATGGCAGTGTCAGATTATCCGAAAACAGGATGTCTGGCATACGTTGACCACTGATAAAGTTATCTGAGTTCCGCTTAATTATCACATCCATGGCCCAGTTCATGTGTTGATTCCGACACGCGTCGATTTAATGATATCAACTCCAATAAATCAAAGAAATGACAAGCCGCCGTGTGATTGTGATCATCAAAGCTCATGTCGAAATCACCAGTTAAGAAAAGAGGATCACGAGATAAAATAATGGGTTCCAAGAAGTCTGAAAATTCCTCAATAAAACTGATAATAGTCACAAGATTGGTTCTAAGATTACGGTCGACGATATATTATAGCCAGTGTAAGGCGTGAATTTCGAAGATTTGATGGAGACCATTCGGAACATTCAAAAGACGTTCTTGAACGAAATTAGAGTTTGCGAAAAACCACCTTGCCGCATTCACAGGGAATCCTGTAAACTACACCATCTTGTTTAGCCGGGTCGACAGCGTCTTTTCGTCGTACTTACTGAGATCTTAGCGTAGTCTCCGACTTGAAAACAGCGCGTACGCCTTGTTGTTGTAGGCAGCGGCGAAGCTGTTCGGATAGACCTTTAACATAAGGTAAAACCGCAGTGGCTTTGAACTCGTTGGCGGGTTCGGCACTGTTGTTTGGTTTTCCGATCTTGGTAAGTTTCTGCAAGAAAGAAAAAAGGATAACCATTAGAAACCAGTACAGATGACAGATGTTTTCCTTTTCCACGAAATGCAGATTTGTTCGCAATAGAGCGAGCATTCAGCGTGCACACAGTCAGATTAGTACGGCCGTTGTGTCTGATGAAGATCGGATACACAATTAATCTGAGCAAGATTGGAATGGTTGTGATGGTTCCGTCGTCTACGTTTCAAAGTACAACTATTTGTTGTTAAAGTCGTGATAAGTGGACCAGCAACTAGTGTCGCCACTAGCTGCGGAGCGAAGGCGAGTGAGGTTAAAAGCGGAGTATGGTGTGTAAGATCTCCGACAAGTAGAGTCACTATGCCTTCTTGTAGAAGATGAAATTTCAAGATGGTGGGTCGAACTCAACGCTGACTGATAGCTTGTATGATGCATATCTACTCTATCCGAGATCTCCGTGCCTTCATCAATGTTTAGGACACGACATACACAGGAAACGAAATCATCCGGATAAAAAAATTAAACAACAGCGCAGAGCAAATAGAAAACGGAGGCAAATTGAGCCGGTGATACAATCACGACTACACGCCACTGCGCAAACTGATCTGTCTCTATATGTTGCATACACACATGCTCCTTTGCCACTGTGATTAAGCCGTTTCTCGATTTCGTTCAGCCTCTCAAAGTTATAAAAAAAAAGATTGGAGCCTTCGGTTCCTTTCCAGCCTCACACTGCTCTTTAGTCAAGCTCAAAAGTTTTATAAATAACTTTCATATTCTCGATACATTAAGACCAAGAATAATCCAGCCGATCACGCCCCAGGGAGATGTCGAGGAAATGACGAGGGACTAATCAAATCTAATTGTCTCAGAGGGCCTGCTTCCTATAGGGGAGAAAATTCTATTTTTAGGAGTAGACATTTTCGATAATCAGACATGAGAACTTCAAGTTAAGGCTATTGTGCGCACGACTTCTGTCAAGAAGAAGTTTAGCCGCATTAACGGCGTGTCAAGGTTCCCCGGCTGGGAAAGAGCAGTCAGATTGATAAATTATGTGAGAGGAACTTTCATGAAGAACAAGATAGTCACCACCACAGTAGCTGAACTACGAGAAACTGAAAAGCTTACCTTAAAAGAATAACAACAGACAACATTAAAGAATTAAGTCTAAGCCGTAAGGAATGGAATAATAAAATCAAAAGTAAAAGTTCCCAATAAGGTTGGATTCGATGATCAAGGATCGATGATCGATCGATGATCAAAGAACGGTGAGAGTTGGTGAGAGGCTTGAAAATTCCGCCTTATCATTCAGCGGTAGACATCCGATAGTCTTAACGTGGCGTTTTCAAATAACTTCTCATTTAAAAAAAACAGGGAAAAGCAATGAGCATGAACGAGATTCGTTCACATCTCGTGTCGAAAATTTACGTTGTGGTAATAAATATATTTTCGCACAATTGAGTTATCCAATCACACAGGGTAGAAGCGCCCTGAACACGATTTCGTGCGGGGCACTGTACGTTGACGGGGAGAGAAGAGAGCAGGGGAACAACTTCGCACTCTATGAGAATCAGGCTATTTAAGAGTTAAAATATTACAAGCAACTAAAGCTATGAAGAGAAGGGAACATAAATAAAAAGTTACTACAAACACTAAATTGCGATCAAAAGAAAAGTTTGCACTACAATAAAACCGTATGATAGAAATGCCCGTTTAGTTAACAACTGCGGCTAGTTACGTATACTGTTGCGTTGCGACATTGTGATTGACTTTTGGACTGATCATGCGTGTTTTCAAAACTGTCTTCTCAAAACTATTGTTACATTGTGTGAGATAAATGAGGTAGAAGGTTAAACTTTTACCTTACTGTTTATTGTGTTTAATTTGCCCGTTCAGTGATAGATGGGAGATGCATAAATCTTTTCATGCAGCACCAGTATCAAACACATTATTGCAAATGTATAAAACATGCGCGTGGCCTAAATCCATTGAGAGCCAGTGAAATCTTTTGAGTAAAACCATGGCTACTTAAACTGAAAAAAGGGAGGCAGAAGGGTATCGTACAGAAGCTTTCAGACTGAAAATCATATGAGATGGAACTGCATTAAGACGCTTTACGAAGAAACAGAGTCCACGTGAGGAGTCAGCTCTTAAAGGATTTGGCATCTAGGATGATCAACGTGATCATCAAGATTCTCTCAAGAAAAGTCTCGATCGTCTGTCGATCGACTGTCGCCCATCCTCTATCGTTGTTAAATTGATCGGTGGAAACCTTTAATACTAAGGATTTAAAATTCAGCTGCTGTAACTGACGAAGCCTTTCACTCGATGCATCGGAAAGGATCTCAGAGAAGCTTTTAGTTGTTCACTCGAAAGGTAGACGATGGATTTCAGAGGCTTGCCGCTGTTTAATGCGATGACTGAAGATCGCCATGATGAGCTAGCCGCGATGGACCACTTTATTTTTATTTCCTTATCATCAGTTAACTCGGTTCCTTGAATTTTGCCACTGAACGTTTTTGGAAGGAAACGTGGATATCGAGAAAAACCATCTGTTCCTCATTATAAAAAGCAAATCTAAAACAAACAAACAAAAAAATTAAAAATTAATTTCCCATTTTCAATTTCCCTTTTCATTTTTCCATTCCCCATTCCCCATTCTCCATTTCTGCTTTTAGTAACATCCTTCTTTCAACCAGCGCGTGTTACATCTGAACTTTACTATCATTAAGGATAAGCCAACAAAGATTTTTTTTAGTCTATAACTACCCGAGTTTTATCTAGGTTTTGAAATGAAGCTCAGCAAACAAAACTATATCTTTCTGACCACATAGTCAGACCGCGATGGACTATCAAGACTATCTACGCAGACCGATTGTATGATATGAGTTTGTCTCAAGACAAGTAAAAAAAACTGGAACATCTCCTATGAGAGAAAAGTCAAACTACATGATCATTTACTACGTTACCGTTACAACCAATATTTCTTAGGAGACACTTCAAATCGATGAACCAGAACTAAGCTATATTCAATTGAGATATATTGTTGTACAGCCCTAGATTTTAAAAGAAACGACCATTAAGCAATACTACACACCAAAATGTCTAATAAGTTGTTCATTATCCAACTGCTTTTTCTGCCGAGTTTCTCTGCTAATTTTTTATAAGGCGGGAAAAGCAAAGCGGAAAGAGAAGCGTAGCGCGTGCCGCCGTCCGGTTAAACAGGTTTTTTTACTGTACAAAATAACCAACTGTACAATATCGTAGGATAATTGTGATTCACTTGTGCTCCATTCGCGCCATATTTGTACTCTACTTTGTGCAGTTGAATATAATTTTGAAATAAACGGTTGTGTTCTACAGCTTAAAATGTTTGAATGAAAGACAACTCGGAGGTTAAAGAGAGCACGCGTAGTTGATTTAATATTCTTTTTAACACTTCCCTAAATTTAAAATATCATTTCAACTCCACTCAATTAGACGAAAATCGTCTTTCTCATGATTGAGAAATTGTTTCTTTTAGTAAGATTAGCAGGTGTTACCACCTCCACAAAATACTAAGTAAATAATATTATTCAGCAACAGGATAGGTTTACATAAGTAAACAGCTCAGTGCGGTTAAAGCCAAGTTAAATTTAATTTGGAGAGTCACTGAAGAAATATGAAATAGCCCCTATCACATCAAGATGAAGTCAAACACTTTTATTCATTAAGCAGGAAATAATCCTCTGTGTAATAGCTTACACTTTGTTGTTGTAATTGTTGATTATAGGGACTTGTCCAACAACCAATTAAAGAATCTATCTTCAGGAGTTTTTACTGGCATCAGCGTCTCCCGATATGCTTCTCTGAACCTGTAAGTAAGACTGTTAAACTTTGATTTTATAATTGTTTTAAGGGACCAAAAGTAGATCAAGGTCTACACCTTACCCAGGTAAGTGTCGGGATGAAATAAGAGAAAGAAAGAGTGCATGGATGCTGAACTGACTCCTCCCCAACCCATGAGGTGTTGCTTACAGGAATGACAGCAATATAGCCGGACATATGTGATGAAAACCATCAAGCGACGTAGATATAAGTCTGCAACATTAGAATCCATCAATTCTTTCTATCATAAAAAAAAACTATTGTTGTTGTTTTTTTTTTTTATCGTGTATCCGGTTATGGCGAGGACCTCATGAACATTTACCAATCATTGGGCGCGATTGTCCGGTTAAAAGGAAGTTTCGAAAGAAATAATGTCATCTTCTGAGACAAACGTTTTGTAACCGTGGGCGTAAGTCATCAAACGGAATCAAGTACATAGTCGCGTGTTATTTGAATGAATAAAGTTCGGCTCTTTATAATTAATTGGTCAGCTCTGGGATATCTATCGTTTGATTTCCATATTTATAACAGTTCATCAGTCTCTTTTGGTTGAATGTCATAATTCAGGGTCTTTTGATTTATAGAAACAGCAACTCAGACTACTTCGCTTAGATCTTGAAAGTTCACATCAGCTTGGTATCATACTCTTGATTCTACTGTTACCTTTGGCAAAATTGAAAATTTTTTCAGATATTTTTTTGATCTTAATATAACTTGATCATGAAGAATGCGGCTCATCACGTGACCCCAACTTTTGTTCCCCAATGATTGCCACAACATACACACGCACTATAATTTGTGGAAAGTGCGGCGTCACTGACGGAAACAATATGACTTCCTGAACGCCTTTAGTTGGACACCATGACTGGATGCTCAAGATAAATAGCCATTTAGGTAGTAAGATTGTCGCTCTCGGTGATGGAATGGAGAACAAATTTAGTGGGGGGTCGTAATTAAGCCTTCATGATAAATAAAATAATAATAATGATCCAAAGATAGTCGATGTAACAGTGAAAACTTTCTAATTTAAAAAAAAAACTTAAACTCATAATTATTAGACCGTTCAAAGTAATTTTTTAAGGGTTCAATAGAACTTGAGAGTCTTTCATAAGGCACCGTTTTCATCTAGTGCTTTGTGTGAAACGTTCAAACGGACACGTCTCATCTTTCTATTGCTTTGTTTTCCTTAAAATAACTGAGTTAGCTTTAATTTGTTATGCGTTCGACTTTGCTGCTAGCCTCAGCTTTTATAACCTCTGTAGGTGACCAGTGTGATTTTTTTTTTTTTTGTCACGCGTTCTTTTTTAGTATCAACTCAATCGGACTAAAACCTTGATCAATGAACTTCTTTTGTGGTTTACCTTCTTTGACGTAATGTTACCTTGTGATATCTCTTGACGGAATAGTTCAAGATTTGTCCAAAAAAACTGAGTACAAATGTTTGATAGCGTAGAAAGCTCCGGTTAGAATTTAAGCGTTCCGCTGTCAGAGGTTTCGCTGTTCAAGATGTTGAACGACATTATGCCTACGTGGTATTCAAGAGATGAAAAGGAGACATCGCGGAGAATTGGAAATAATGTGTTAAGTGTTATTTTAAAGTCATATCACCTTTGATATGGGAAATCTATTATGAAAAAATTGCGCTCGCTCTATGTTAAAAAAACCATTTGACACCCTAGCCTACGCGTAGCCGTACCCTCTCTCCAAGGTGAAACGGAAGCGAGGGAACGTCTACGGAAACCTGACACTAATCGTGTTCCGTGACGCCACTCTAATTTATGCAAAATAATGTCATTTGATAATATTTGTTTGCGAAGTGGCACGTGCTAGCAAGAAGGCTATCGAGATAAACAACAAAACTGAAGTTAATTCATTTTCCATTTTTCGGGTAAATTTGCAATTCAGCGACCGATTTCAAATATATATTTTGCTTTCAGGATATAGGAAAAGATTCTGAGCGATTTCTTTGTACAGAGTAAGAAGAGGACGATGTTCGATTAGCATCGTGCTTGCGATAGTCCACGCGGTTTCTGCTTGCATTTGTAAACAGTGCCACGGTCGGCGAAAAGAATTGGATTATTTTATGAGTCTCAAGGTTTTGACAGATTTCTTTACGAGATAATTACGCTTCAAGCGTGAAGAAAGAGCGACTCTTTTCTCAGTCGAAAGAATCGCTGCAAGAAACAACTAGCTTTAATTAAAGTGACTAAACGTCCTGCAGCCGGACGGTAAACCGTAGATTCTAGGCAGCTGTTTGTGTCGGGGTCTGATCTTGTTGTAAACGGCCTCTGGTAGATATTAGCTTTGCTTCAAGGTAAGCAGCTTTTCGGACAACTTGCGGGTCAGACGGTCTGTCGGATCTTTGTTGAGGAGCTGGTACGGTCCGTTCCCAATAAGCGTAGACATTTTAATTCGGTAGGTGTCGGTATCCATGACTACGCTAGCGCGCCCTTTGTCCACTGGGAGAACTATGATGGACTCGTCTTCTTTCAGGCTTTTAAATTAATCTCGCATCTCCTTCGTGATGTTAGGCTCTGGTGTTCCGCCTGTTGAAGGATACCGTTAACAACTCTTCTGACAGTATCTGCTTGTTCAGCGTCGAGTTGTTTTACGGCTGCTTCGACCTTGGCGATGACCTCTGTGGCAGGAATATTCGCAGGAGTTACAGCGAATAGTCAGTCCTTTCTTCAGTAGGGCTTTCTCGGCATCGCTAAGGGACCTAGAAGATAAATTAACCACCCAGTTGGCTTTGTCAACATACGGTGTGTCAACCGCTGACACAATCGCCTGTTTTTCTGGAGTGAGTTTTTCAAACTTCTGCTTATGTCTGTCTTTGGTGGTGTTGAAGACTCGTTGGATGTTGGTCTTAATCTGCTCTAGTAGCCTGTTGGCGCCGTCTGTCAAGAGAGCGGATGTTATGCTCTGTGCTGTGGATTCTGTATCCTTCTTTGCATCTCCCTTGGCCTTCTGTGTCAGTCTGATCCGTTCCCTTAGGAATCTGATGGATGCGAGTTCAGCGACTCTGCGTGTGCCTTTGATGCGAACTGGCACATTATAGCAACATTCTGAGGCCACTAACTCGATCTAACGGCAACATGACTCAAGATCACCACTCTATCGACTTGAACTTTTGCTTACTCAATGCACAATCCTTGAATAACAAAGCTGGCGAGTTTACCGATCTTGTTTGTGAGTACAAACCAGATGTGGTTGCTCTAACAGAAACATGGTTTTATCCGATGGAGTCAGCCTCGCGAACACTCTGAACGCCTGTTGGCTACAAACTTCTAGACTATCCACGAACTAGTCGAACAGGGGGAGGGACTGAAGTACTGTTCAGGGACAACCTAACTGTGAAAAAAGGAGCTACCGCTGAACTGCGATCATTTGAGTACTCTGATTGGGATATTAAGTCTGAAACTGACCAGATCCACCTTACTATCAACTACAGAACACCATACTCTGACGCACATCCCGTCACCACAAGTGTCTTCTTCGAAAAGTCCTCAGCATTTCTCGAATCTGCAGTTTTTTTGCCCAAGCCATCTATTAATTACTGGGGACTTTAACATACAAATGGACGTGGAAGCTGACGCTGACGCGGTGAGACTGCGCGAATTACTCGAGAGTACAGGTCTAAAGCAGCATGTTACCGCTCCCACTCACAAACGTACTCACATCAGCGGGCACACCCTTGATCTTATTATTACAAGATAGTCTGACCAGCTTGATATTTCAAGTGTGCAAACCTGCCCTTAAAAGATCGCATATAACTCTCAGGAAAATTAGGTCTATCAATAAGAAGCTCCTACGGGACGAGATTTCTAATACCGATCTCTGGAAAAACCTTCTTTCATACAACCTCGATAGTCTGGTTAATGCCTATAACAACACACTCAAATCAGTGCTTGACAACCATACACCAGCCATCACTAAGACCGTAATTAAAAGACCAACTGTTCCCTGGTTCAATGATGGAGTAAAGTCTGCAAAAAAGGAAAAGAGGCGCGCGGAGAGGAAATGGTGCTGAACAAGGCTACATAGTGATCTGTTAGATTTTAAGGCCAAGAAAAACCTGGTTACCTATGTTATTAAAAGAGCACGATCTGACTACTACACCAAATTTATACAGGCAGACTGCAACGACTCGCGTAAGCTCTTCAGGTCTGCAAAAACGCTGGTTACGTGGTTGAGTGTCTTGACGCCCTCCTAGCAGTGATCACTAGGATGATTAACCTTTCTCTACAATACTGAACCTTCCCTGATGACTGGAAGCTTGCTGATGTTAAACCGAGATTAAAGAAGACTGGCGCCGAAGCACTGTTTTCCAATCGGCGACCCATAAGCAATCTATCATTTGCTTCAAAACTTGCCGAGCGAACTGTGTTTGCCCAAACACAGGATCACTTCAGTACAGTACAGAATCTGCTCTGCAACGAGTGAAAAATGACATCTTACTTATAAACCAATTCAATAACGTGTCACTTTATACTCGTACTTCTCGACCTCAGCGCGGCTTTTGATACTGTGGACCACACAATTTTGCTCAATCGCCTCTCCAGGGTCTCCTGGAGAGGCGACTGAGAGGCCTCCTGTAGGAGGCAGTAGCCACAAAAAGCGGCTCAGAAGCGCATTCGCTGTGAGACCACCAGGAGGTAACAGCTGATAAACCGCTCAGGAACGGTTTAATGAAAGCGCTTCAACAGCGATGATGAAGGCCTGCAATGCTCGACGTTAGTTGCCACAAAACCGCTCATAATGCCGTGAAAACAGTCTCTACAATGAATATGGAAGCGATCCTCGAAGTAATGAACACTTCTTAATCAGTTTAGTGAAAATAAGGCGTGAAAAAAAAAATTCAGGCCTGCACGGGATTTTAACCCGTGACCTCTGCGATATCAGTGCAGCGCTCTACCAACTGAGCTGACAAGTCAACTTGGAGCTGGTTATTATGTTGGTTCCAAATAAAACCGTGAAGTGATAAATAAA